GTAAACAGTTAAATTTAACAGTATTATGGAGAATGTACCGCTTTTTTTTAAACTTTTTTTATTGAGTTATAGTCATTTTACAATGTTGTGTAAAATTCCAGTGTAAAAGAGGATGTGCCACTTTCCACTCTTTTTGCTAATAGTTTTTCTCCCCTTTTTTCATATACATATTTAATTGATCCTTTTCCACCAAACAATTCAGTGATCTTTGCAGATTTTTCTGCCAGAAAAATCCAGGCAGAATATGGTAAGATTTGTAAGAAGCTGTATAATCTAAAATGACATTTCTGACCAGCCTGATTCTTTCCCCAGGTATGTGGACCTGTGAGGTAGGACTGGTACTATGTAATGTTAGGAGACCAAGGAGGTAAGTTAGGAGCAGGATGGGGATGGCTATTTTACGTAAACCTGAGGACTAGGTAGGGAAAACTTGGAAGGACATCACCTTCTCCCTTCCCTCCTTGTGCGCTCAAGAGCACCGCATTCATCTGATATCCCTGAGCAAACCTTGGAAGAAGCTTGCCTGGGCTCAAGGAGTGATGACTATCCCTGAATTCAACTTCCAGACACAGGGACTTCCAGACTGTGCTTACTCACTTTGATGCTCTCCTGTCTCCTCTGTGCTGTGTGGCTCCCCCAACTCCATATTTTTAGGTGCATGATGGCAGATTTATGAAAATATTTCTTCCCTCCTCCAACCAGCTCATCACTCCCTATAATCTGTGCTAGAAATCTTCAAGGCATCTTTGACTCTCTCTTGATGCTCAAATATCCAATTAGTCACTGAATTCTGTCATTTGAACTTCTAAAGCTTGTATTGAGTCCGCCTCATTCATGCATCTAACCATCCATCCATCCATCCATCCACCTATTTTTGTGGGTGTGTATCATGTTCTAGATGTTATGTCCAAGATGCTGGGAATTTAGAAATGACTGAGACATGGACCTTGTTTTCTTTTTCAAAAAGCTCACATGATAACTCAAAACACAAGTCAAATTCTGTTACCTAAAAAATTAGCTAGGCTTCAATGTGGTGGCGTTCAGGATTCTCCACTGTCAGGAATCCAAGGCCCCTCCAGCCTCCAGCTCTACATCTTTCTCCACTCACATGGTACTCACATCTGACTATTCTGGGACCTTCCACATTCCTATCCTTTGTTCATGCCCAGACGGTGCTTCCCTGCGGCTTTACCTAGTAAAAATCCTACTCATCCTCTAAAGCTAGGTTCAAAGGTCTGCTCCTCTTTGAAGTTCCCTCCACCACCCACTCAGGATTAATCATTTTTCTCCTTGTACTTATGCCTCAAGAATAGAATTTATTTCACTAGCCCAGGGTAAATTATTATTATTTATTATTGTTGCTCCCCCATTAGACTATAGACACCTCTCAGGCAATAACTTGATTCATGCACCTTTTTATTCCCTCTACCACCTTACATGGCACAGTAAATCTCCTGTTGGCTATACGACTGTTCAAAAAAGAAAAAAATATATAATTATATGATATTTACATTGAATTTTCTGATGTAATTCAACTTAAAATTATAGGGTCTTTTCACCTACCTCACTCTTCTCCTGGCCCGTATTGCCTCCATTTTGGTGTATAAATTTGTCCCCATCAGATGAATCTCTTGAGAGAAATATTTGTCTGACTGCCATTGTTGCTTCGAAGGAGAGGTACCGCACACCATCTGAAGGGCAGACTCAGCCTGGATTCAATTCCTAGCCTGTCATGTTGCCTTGAGGCCATAAAGTTCTTCCTTCTATTAAAAGGATGGTCAGTGAGGCTAACCTTATAGGAAGATTGCAAGAATTAATCAAAATATATGCAGAGCATGTAGAATAGTGTGTGGAATAACGTTAAGTACCCAATACATGTTAGCTGTAATACCATTTCCAAAAAAAAAATGCTGTGATGACATTCAGAGTTTATAAGAACACAAGGCAGAATAGTAATGATTTAGTAAGTTCCTTTGAGTGTATCAAAGGATTTCCTGGATTGTGTCATTCCATTAGTGAATCATTTCTGGATTCATTTTCTCAACATGTTATACTTTAGATGAAATATTACACAAGAATCATGACTTAAAGTTTGAAGCATTAAGTCATTAAAAGAAATTATTAAAAGAAAACTTACCAACTTTCTACTTATCTCCCTGTAGCCCCTCTCCCACACTTGACTTTCTCATTACAACGGTGTACTTTAGTCATGTACCCTAGTGAGAAGATCTTTACTTCTTTTGCTGAAGTCTATATTCATCACCTTTTAAACAGCCTATTCAAAACTCTGTTGCTCCAAGAATTCCTCTCTGCGCCATGTTACCTTCCCATCAGAAATATTCCAATTTCTCTACATCCTTGCAGACACTTAGTATTTTTTGTTTTATTGCCTACAGCCGTTTTAGTAGGTATAAAGTGGTATCTCATTGTGGTTTTCATTGCATTTCCCTAATGACTGATGATATTTAGAATCTTTTCATGTACTTATTTCTTCTTTGTGTATCTTCTTTGGAGAAATAACTCAAGGCCAATACTAATTTTTTACTTGAGTTATCTTTTTTGTTGTTGCATTGTTTGAATTCTTAATATTTTTGAAACACTAAACTCTTATCAGATATATAATTTGAAATCATTTTTCAGTCATATGTCAAGTTTTCACTTTCTTGATGATGCTTTTGATGCAGAAAAGTTTTTAATTTTGATCAAGTTCAATTTATCATTTTTTTATTTGGTTGTTTCTGTTTTTGGTGTCATACCTAAGAATCCATTGCCAAATCCTAGGTCATGAAGATTTATTCCTATGTTTTCTTTTAAGAGTTTTATGATGTTTATGTCACTGATCAATTTTGAGTTATTTTTTGGTGTGAAGTCAGGGTTCCAACTTTATTCTTTTGCATGTGGGAGTCCAACGTCCCAGTACCACCTATGAAGAGACTATTCGTCTCCACTGAATAGATATGGAAGTCTTGTCAAAATCAATTGACCATAGATGTATGTATGGGTTTATTTCTGGATTCTCAGTTCTATTCCACTGGTCTATTTGTCTAACCTTGTGCCAAAAACACACTGTTGTGATTACCGTAGCTTTGGAACAAGTTTAGAAATTAGGAAGTGTGAGTAGTCCAACTTTGTTCTTTTTCAAATTGTTTTGGCTATTTGGGGAACTTTGCAGTCTATGCAGATTTAAGGATTGACTTTTCTATTTCTGCAAAATACGCTGTTGGAATTTTGACAGGATTTGCACGGAATCTGTAGAAGATCACTTCAGGCTGTACTGACATTTTAACAATATTAATTTTGTAACCATGAACACAGGATGTCTTTTAATTTATTTAGATCTTCTTTAATTTCTTTCAACAATCTTTTCTAGTTTTCAGTGTATAACTCCTTTATTTCCTTGGCTAAATTTATTCCCAGGTATTTTATTATTTTAGATGTGACTGTAAATGTAACTGAGTTCTTGATTCCTTTTCAGATTCTTTATTGCTGGTGTATAGAAACACATCTGATTTTTTTGTGTGCACTCGTCTTGTACCCTGAAACTTTGCTGATTTCATTGATTAGTTCTAGTAGCTTTCTAATGGATTCTTTGGGATTTTGCATGTATAAGATCAAAGTATCCATAAATGGAGATAAATTTACTTATTTCTTTCCAATTTGGATGGCTTTTACTTACTTTTGTTGCTCTGGCTACAATTTCCATTACAACATTGAATAGTGGTGGTGAAAGTAGGCAACCTTATTTTGTTCATGACCTTAGAGGGAGGAAGTTTCCAGTCAATAATGACTGAGTATTTTGTTAGCTGTGGGTCTTTCACACACACTTCTACTCTAACAGTTTTTGTCATGAAAGGGTGTTGGATTTTGTCAAATGCCATTTCTGCGTCAGTTGAGATATTCATATGGTTTTTTTTCCCTTCATTTTATTAATGTGATATATTACATTGATTAATTTTCTTATGTGGAACCACCATTGCATTCCTGGAATAAATTTCACTTGGTCATGGCATGCAATTCTCTAATATGCTGTTGGATTCAGTTTCTTAGTATTTTGCTGGGGATCTTTGCATCTATATTCATATGGGATATTCATCTGTAATTCTTTTTTTGTGTGTGTGTGATGTTTTTCTCTGGATTTAGCACAAGGGTAATACGGTCTTCACAGTATGAGTTAGGAAGTGTTTCTTCCTATTCTACTGTTTGGAAGAGTTTGAAAAGGATTGGTGTTAATTTTTTAAATGTTTGATAGAATTTACTAGTAAAGCTGTCTGATCCTGGACTTTTTTGATTACTGATACAATCTCTCATTATGGGTCTGTTGAGCTTTATTTCTTCCTGAATCAGTTTAGGTAATTTGTATGTTTCTAGGAACTTGTCTAATTCATCTAGGTTATCTAATTTGTTGGTTTCCAGTTGTTTATAGTATTCTCTTACAATCCTTTCTCTTTCGGATGATTGGTAGTAATCAATCTCCACTTTCATTTCTGATTTTAGATATTTATTCTTTTTTTCTTTTTCAGTGTGTTATTAATTTTTATTCCTCCTACTCCCTCTCCCTCTGCATTCCCTTTGTCTTCTCCACCTTAACGTTCTTCTCCCTGTTCTTCTCTGCTTGCTTTTTTTCCTTTTCCTTCCTTCCTTCTTCCCCTTCCTTCCTTCTTTCCTTCCTTCCTTCCTTCTCTCTCTCTTTCTTTCTCTTTCCCTTTCTCCTCTTCCTTCCTGATTATTCCCATCAGAAGGCAGACATGCTGTAGAGTCTCCTTCCTTAAAAGTGTAACCTTCTCTTGACAACTTTACCTGCAGCTCTGCCTCATTCTCTGTTCTATTATACAGCAAAAATCCTTGAACGTGTGATCTATACCAGCTGTCTCCAATTCTTCTCCTTCAGTTCTCCCTTGAAGCCACTTCATTAAGTTGTTAATAAAACAGCTCTTGTCCCTATACAGTGTAATCTTGTTTATCTATTCTACAATTTTGAAATCCCAGTCTATCCATTGGGATTTTTCATGTCAGTTATCCTTTTATTTCCAGGCTCCTGCACTCTCTTTTTTAAAGGGAAGGCAGTTCTATTTTGAATATCATTTAGGACAGGACCCAGCTCTCTGATTTATGCAAAAGGACATAAATTCAAAAATCTGCCTGGTATAGTTTTTTTTCCAATAAGGGGTTGTGTGCAGCTGCTGTTTCTGACAGAATGAAAAAATAGTAGAAGTGAAAAGTGAATAGATCATAACCAGCAATCATTTTTTCTTCATCAAATCCATCAGATCGTCTTCTATTCCTTTCTCACTCAGCTCATCTAAACTGTAGTATCGATGGACAATTTTCTCAGCAGTGACCACCACGACTCGGAGCCCGTGGGTGTCTTTGCCCAACTGGCATCCGATGGCAGATGACACCACCATGTCCAGGTCCTGGTAGGTGCCCCCGGCATTCCTGTGGTAGTGACCTGAGAACACAGCTTTGACACCTGCTTTGGAGAACTTGTCTGCCATCTCCTTCCGAACGGACTTGGTGAGGTTGAAGTAGTCATCCTCCTCATCGATGCTCTGGAGGAACAGCGGGATGTGCTGGAAGACGACGGCGTGCTGGCACCTCTGCTGCCCAGCGATGCTCAGCTGCTGGTCCAGCCACTGGTCCTGGGCCTGCTTCAAGGCAGGGCACATGGAGGCATCGTAGAAGAACTGGGAGTTGAGGACGA